AAATTGAAGTCCAGTTTTGTCTGAAATAAGTCAAATGGAGAAAAAAAACATGAAAACACTTCCTCTTCCAGTGTCTGATGTCTGTGACCAGTACAACAAAGCTCAAAAATACAGAAGCGAGAGCAGAATAGAGAATCATCACTCCAGTTAAATGCGTAACGATCTCCCAGTCTCTCCATAACCAGAGGCCTGGGTCTAAATTCAGCTTGAAAATTAAAAGCTTACCGCATGAAGACCCATCTCTTCAGAATCGATGGTGGCTTCAAGGTGCTTAACTGATAAGTGCCCTGTGTGTGCGCAGCAGGGGAAGGCAATGGGATGAGTGGTGGGAATGCTGCGTCCAGCTCACTCTGAGGCCAAGCTGTCCTTTCGGTTCAGATCTGTTCTCAGGTCGTCTTTCTTCGCTGATAATCGTGGGCGCAGACGCAACATCTCACTCGCATGATGGGTTGGCATGAATGTTGTACTACTTGTGCTAGTAGTTTGTGTACATTTTTAATGAATATCCTTTTCCCCAGGTCTGGAGGTAACCACCTCTCTCCCAGCACTGCATAACATCTTTATTTCACTTTCATACGAAATGGGTGTGTTTACTGGTTTCGGGGCAGTCCGGTAGATTGTGGGTCTCTGCATGTTTACATGTGTGCGCTAGAGAAAGTGTGCTTCTATTGCTTCCCCGTGTCAGATCACTTGTGTGTCTCCATATTTGGGGAGAGGGTGAGTATACCAACTGGTAAGTACACTTTGGGATGGGAGACTTGTCGAATGGCACATAATGAACCTGAAGGAAGGATGAAGACATGAATGATAGTCCATTTGCAAATGTACTTTAAATATTAAACCCCTTGTGGCACTGGTTGTAGTTACACTTCATCCATTTGCGTGTATCTATAGAGGGCCGTGTTCTCCCGAATAATTTTGACGTTTATCAGCTTAAAATGGAAAACTGAAGGTCCCAAAATGACATTAAATGGGTCGGCAGGTGTGACTGACAGTGTTATCTGCCTCAGTGAGCATGATTTATTTCTGTTGTGTGGTTTGTGATGATAACTTTCCTGCTCTTCGTTTTTTGTTCCGTACCAGTGCTGTGCGGCAGAGGTTTCCCCGGCTTCTCAAACTGGTAAGTCCACACGTCAATCTCCTCACTCACCTCATTTGGATGCAGTCATATCACTAAAGAAATCAATACAAAAATGCAAGAAAATGTGCTTATTTTGCATCTTAATTCATATGTGGTTTCTTTTTAGGATGGTCATGACCTCCCCCCACCCATTGGCTTTGATGTGGAAACGCCAACCATCATCCCCCCCTGCAAGGTAACTTGTTTTGTCTTCTGTGATTAATTGTATATTTTAAATCAAATTCACATTGATGAGTGTGATGTTCAGGGGAACCTCTCCATGGTGGGATTTCATAAGTAAAAAAAATGGCAGAAGTTTAAGCTGCATTGTCCTCCTTCAGGTGAATGTCTCAGGACAGTTATTGTCTCCTTTATGTACCTGACCAATGTTTATTTGACAATCCAGGGCAGCTGCTTTGGCACTGATGAAATCAAGGTCCTCATCCTTCGGTTCGTGACACAGTGAGTTTCTACCTTTTTATACGCAGGCAATCTTCTGGCAACACTCCAGTAATCACTTATGTGACCCAACCAGTCGCTGATTCACCTGTACTGCTTTTAACGCGCTCTATAAAAGGGTTGTGTGCAAGAAACAATCACAGGAGCAAACACAAGAGAACTAAACTGGTGATGTGTGTCTGTGTTTCAGATACTACAGCATATACGACTCCGGGGACAGACAGTCACTTCTGGATGCGTACCATGACGGAGCATCGTTCTCCCTCACAACACCGTACTCTACCCAGAACCCCTCCAGGTAAGAACACACACTTCTGTATACATGTAGCAGCACTGAATAACGCATGAATGAATGGGATGTTCATTAATTATTAACTCTTATCTGTATTCACATTGATTCCGTCTGTCCCTCTCTCCTTGTTTTAGGAGCAGTCTTGGAGAGTACCACAAAGACACTCGAAACCTGAAGAGAATCAAAGACTCCAGTGAGTTTACCTGTCGAGCTCTTGACCTGTTGCAGCCTTTGACTTGTTGAGATTGAACGTTCCTGTGATTTTTATTTATTTATTTATTTTTTTATTTTTTTATTTATTTTTTTTTTTAAATGCCTCCTGATGTTCCCCTCTCTGAATGTTGCCTTCTTTTAGCGGTGCGGTTTCGACTTCTAAAGCACACACGGCTCAACGTGGTGGCTTTCCTCAACGAGTTGCCCAAAACTCAGCACGACATCGCCTCCTTTAATGTCGACGTAAACACTTTCACGGTAAGACCATGTTGTTTCTGTCAGCCAGCACTTTTCATAAACCTTTTCTCTCTCACAGTGAATCATTAATTCTGCAAAAATGTTTTCTTTTTTTACAGAACACACTACTATCCTTCACAGTGAGCGGCGTCTTCAAAGAAGGTGACTTGTTTGGATGTCATGATTTTATATATATATCTATCTATATATCTATCTATCTCTCTCTCTCTCCATCCACTGCGATGAGTAGTTGTTGAGTTTGTTGCTAATGTTTCTCATGTTGGTTTTTCAGTTGCTGTCGACGGTAAATCCCGAGAGTCCACCATGGCTTTCTCTCGAGTTTTCGTCACAGTCCCGGCAGGGAATTCTGGGTAAGTTCAGTGAGCTCCCAGTGGTTTGAATCATCTTCCTCTTGTCCTTCACATTTTCCCTGAGGAAAGTTCGTAGTACCAAATGTGTAACACCAGGTGTGGAACTTCCAGAAAATTAAGCTGTAAAGAACTGAACAATGACATTACTGTTATATGAATTTTAAAATGAAATTCTTTATTTTCTGCATGTTGCTACAAATGGTTTCAATGTTACTCCTGTTCGCTGCAAACCTTTTAGAAGTAAAGAAGTCCACTCGGATTACATCTTAAATACAGTTGTGAGGCTATAGTATAGCGTTGTTATTGTCTTCCACACTCATTAAAAATAAGGAAACCAGAATTAACTAAACATAAGAGAATTCCATTTTCTGGTTGGTTGTGATTTAATAATGAACACAAATAATATAACAGGTATACAATGTAAAAAATATTACATTTAAAAAAGGAAAAAGATAAAGAAATCTGATGTAGATGTAGTCTGATTCCTCGTGTTGTGGCAGACGAACTATCCTACAAGAATACAACTGTCTTGTATTTCTCCAGGTACAATTTGTAGTTTTTTTTAAATATCAGAACACTTTAACTTTATTTGTTTTTTACCTGGATGGTGGACAATGATGGCCTACAAACTAAAGCTTGTATAATACTTTTCGCTCTTTTATTTGTAAATAGAGACAAACAGAAATCCCAGCTTGTTGCCAGCATTCAAAGACTGGAGTTGATTCTTGCATTAAGATAGTTTCACATTAAAAAAGTTGAATCCTTTTAGGATTACTGCTGCTATCTAGTGTTGTGGTTTGGTTAATGTGAGTGGTTACTGTATCTCAATGATTTTTAAAATTAAACTTGATATGAAACTGGCAGTTTGAAATTGCCTCTTTTTGAAACGTGTTATACAAATCAAAGTGTCATGCTTCTACCATTTTACTTTACACCATGTGATGTCTTATTTTCTGTCTACACAGTCTGTGCATCGTGAACGACCAGCTTTTCATCCGGATGGCCACAACGGAGGAGATCCGCCGAGCCTTCGTTGCTCCTGCCCCGACTCCCTCTTCCAGCCCCGTCCCCACCCTCACTGCACCGCAGCAGGAGATGCTCACGGCCTTCTCGCAAAAGTCGGGCATGAACCTGGAATGGTCCCAAAAGTAAGTCTTGTTTTTCTGCATGTGGTGTTTGCAGCGTTGCATGACAAACATTATTCCCTTAACTTAATATATCTTAACCGTTATTCTCTGTCGCAGGTGTCTGCAAGACAATGAGTGGGATTTCAACAGAGCGGCACAAGTTTTCACTCAGTTAAAGGTAAAATGATGATTTATAGTTTGTCTCTCTGCATTTCCATAAAGGTGTGAAAATGTTCATAGAAAGGCCCTAAAATTATTTTTCCTTTCTTTTTCCAGACGGATGGCAAGATCCCTGAAGTTGCATTCTTAAAATGAAGAGTTACATCATACTTCTGTGAAATAAAATCTGCAGTAATTTTATTTGTCTTTTTGTTTTATTAAAAATGTTTCTGAAGTTTACTATTTTGTTTTAACAGCCAACTGTTTGATCTGAAGACTGATGTTATGAGACCGTTTTTGGTTGTTATTGTAACCTTAGTTTTTGGTCATTTGTATAGAAATCACTTGTTTTCATAGGAATAAAGACATATAGCCAGTGGATGAACATGTTGATTTGTTGTATTGTGTTTATTAATAAATATTTTGATACACAATTGATACATTTCACTTAAGCCACAATCAGAACAACATATTGAGTGTGGATGTTCTTTCTTGACCTTGGAAGTGCAAATTTCACCCCCAAAAACTAACTTCTAATACCAAGTTTTATTGAGTGAGGAACAAAGTGATGTACGGGTGAAGTTCCTGAAAAGAGAATGCAACTAAGTGGACATAATGAGTGTAACAACATAGTTATTACATTTAGCTGCCTTTTTATCCCAAAGCTAAGTGACGGTACCATTTAACAAAAACTCAACACGGGTAGTACCGTAGTTAACACACGATCATAGAAAAATGGAAATGACATAAAGCTCTAATAGTGTTGACCCAGGACATGTCTTCATAGCTTATTTTTTTATTAGGAAAGTATATATATATATATATATATACACATTTACAAAATCATTTAACAAAAAACAATGAATCTATATCAATCATACATGTTAATATTTGAAGAATATATTTAAAGAAAATACAAAAACATTGATTCTATTATCGATTTACAAAATACCAATAACCTTACAAAGATGGCGCCTGGGTGGTGTCACGTATCTCTTCCGGGGTTTTACTCTGTCGTCACCATGACGCGTGACGCACGTACGTCCACCATACCGTCAGTCGGCGTACGATAACAATAAACAACCCTGAAACAAGAGATACGCAACAACGGAACCTGCGGCTCCAATTCCGACACAAAACGAAATCTAAAACATGAGCCGAGACAGCCACCAACGGCTGGAGTAACGCCTCGTCACGCAGCGGGGGAGTCTCGTCGGTCCCGTGGAAGGATTTCCGAGTGTTTTTGTGTGAAAGCTAGAGGACTACAGTCTACATCTATCCCTTCCTTAGCCCCCTGTAGCTAGCCGGGGCTCATTCCCTGTGTTTGCACACTTCGTGTTAGTCTGTTATGCAGTTGCCAGCGGACTGTAGTCGCACTCGTTCTCCTCCGCCGCCTCTTCGCTCCCTCTCCCCGCTCCCTCTGGCCCTATGTCTCGATGGCTGTTCCCCTGGCCAGGCTCAATCAAGAAGCGGGCCTGCCGGTACCTCTTACAGCACTACCTCGGTCACTTTCTGCAGGAACGACTGAGCCTGGACCAGCTCGGCTTGGACCTTTACAACGGCAGCGGTGTCATCAGAGAAATCCACCTCGATGTCTGTGTGAGTGGTTTTTTTTAATCGCATAAGGTGGCACCACGAGTCACACTGTGTTTGTTGCCGGGCTCGTGCACCCTTGGCTGTTTCGCAACTGCACTCGAGCTCAACAACAATCTCGTCATGCTTTTAGCCGAGCTCGCATTTCTTCGAGGAATTGCAGTTATAGGGAACACATCACCAGAATAACTGCACCTCTCCATAGTGTCTCAACATTCAAAATAGATGCAGTATATGTCTCCCCCTGCCATGTTAACTGCTCTTCCTTTGCCTTATACGTCTACACACTGTGATGATACTATATGAAACCAGTTATTTTCACTTTGCACTTCTTATTGACTGCTTCCTATCTCTGCTCCAGGCGGTCAACGAGCTTTTGGAGACTCTTGGGGCTCCTCTGGAGATAGTGGATGGCTTTGTGAGCACCATAACAGTGACCATCCCCTGGCAAGCTCTCCTGACGGATCACTGCACCTTAGAAGTTTCTGGTCTTCAGATAACATGTCGACCCAAGTACCGAACCAGTAAGTTCACCTGGAAACAAGTCGTCCACTTGGGACACTAAACGTGCTTCAGGTTGAGTGAAGGGCTCTTCCAGGGATTATGAGATCGGCCCATTTTGTCAAGTATGCTCCCAAATTATGATGATTGTAAAGACTAATTTGTCCCCGTTTTATTACTGTTTTCCCCAAACTATTCCTGATGTAGAGCTCTTGTTATGCAGGTGATAAATAAGAGTCCATCAGGATGTGAGTGAGGATACAAGATCATTTCACTACATGCTCAGACCTTTTAAATGCTTTTTCATTCAAAACGCATTGATTAAACTGCTGATTATTTTCTAAATTAATCGATTTCACGTTTTTCTTCTTTAATACAATGTCAGAAAATAGTGAAAAGGGTTGTCATAAATCAAAACAGTTTTGTCAGAGCAACAGTCCTAAAAGTTACTGAACTGTCATGAGGAAAAAAATAGCAAATCCTCACATTTGAGTAATTGGAATTCTTGGATTGAATTATTATTATTGGGTTATTTCTTGCAATTTTGCTTAAAAAACGACAAACGATACATCGTCTGCTATTTTATTAACTGATTAATTTCCTGATTTATCAACTAATCCTCTTGACAGAAAGCTCCATGTGTAAAGTGTTCATTTAATTTCACTAATCTTTGCTCACTTACTGAGTCTGAGCTCCATGTAATTGTGTTTACACTTAGGTGGGGGTTGGGACTCTCAAGGCTGGTCATCAAGCATGGCCTCCAGCATGCAGCTGGCTCAGGAGTGCCTGAAGGACCCCCCTGAGGCGTCCGAGGAGCCGCCTGCCCAGCTGGAGGGGCTTGAGATGTTTGCACAAACCATTGAGACGGGTGAGTTGGAGCTGTGTGCGTCCTTTACTTTGTGAAGAGCCGACAGCTTGAACATGCAATATTTCCCCAATTAAAGACCCAATCTGAACAGACACTGAGAAGAGATGATTTAAAGGGTCAGTGCTGATGAACCTTTGCATGTCTCTCATCTCATCTGTGTTTACAGTCCTTCGTCGTATTAAAGTCACCTTCATTGACACCATCGTTCGCATCGAGCACCAGCCCCTGGACCTGGAAACAGGCGTTGCCTTAGAGGTGCACATCAAACGGTAGGTCTCCCTTTTCAAGATTCACTTTAACAAAATGAGCTGCAAAGGAGAACAAGAAGACTCCTCCTTCATGATGTTTGTCCTTTATTTTGTATTTAAACAATTCTAAATGTTCTGTTTGTTACTGCTACAGTAAGTGTAGGAGTTATACATACTATAGTTAATTCATTGTCATTTTATAATAGCAATGAGAACATCCAGAAACACGTTACTGATGGTACTGTTTTTTTGCTGATAGAGAGCAGTTCTTGGGGCATTTTGAAATGCAACTTCAGAGGTCACTTCTACGGATATTTATAGAAAAGTCTCCCTGAGTGGCCTTTTAATGCTTGAGAAATTAGAAATATGATTAGGTTCAGATCAGAAGACTCACTTGATTTGTTCTCCAAAAGAACATAGTGCACACCGAGGTACAAAGCTATGTCCATCACCACCTTTCAACACTCTTGATAGTTAAAGTATGGACGGATCACATAGGTATAACTGTGATCTAAGAAGTCTCACCTTCGTTTCTGCTCTGTTCTCTTTGGTAAAGACATTACCGATGTTTTTTTCTGTGTCTTTTGAGGCCTAATCAGAGCTAAAACATATACGGTGGTTGAGATTTTAAAAAACAAAACATGAAAGTGTAGCTAAGACCGTGTTGAGCGATGAAACACTGGAGCTGAAGAACTGTTGGAGACAAAAACAAAGAAGCCACAGAGGATGAGCTCAAACATAGTGGTCAGCATAATTATCTAAATCTTTTCTGTTGTACAAATAAAAGCATCCAGATTTATACCCACACCTCCAATTTAGTTTTTTATCACTCACAAGAGGGAGCTAAAATGTCTCAGTGATCAGTAATATTGCAACTCTTCCACACCAGCACTCGTATTGCAGTCATAGGAGAGGGAAAGTGAAATGGAAGCCAAGAATTAGATTTCATCTTCTCTCTGCTCATCAGCAGATGAAGAGAAGAGGCCCCTGCTCGGCCTTGTGTTTTCAGACAGCCTCGGTGTGAAGCTCGGTTTAAACGGGGTCAGTATTGACGAGGTCGTTCACCTTAACGGGCTTTTATCAGGCTGCTCTTAAGGAGTAGGAGTCGTCGATACGGGATGTCAGGGGAGTCTGTGACTTTGATGAATATGTGGCTCCGCTGTTGCTGTGGGGAGCCTCGTGCAATCATTTATTGAACGCAATTATGTTCTCAATGATTTGAAGTACTTTACTGCATTTTCAAATGCAGTGATCAGGTCTTGTAATCAAATGTAGAAATATTGCTGATGTGACAGTATTATTAAAGCTAAGATTGCAGGTTAAGGTAACTGAGCTCATTTGCAGTCATTCCCACCCTCCCACTTATTTGATTTTCTGTGTGTATTTCCACTGGTGCCACATGTCCCATGATGACTGTCTTGCCGTTTTGTATCGTTTCTACCGCGACACTGTTGAACCCTTATTGTTGTGGCTTATTGACAAAGCTGCTTAGGATGTCTGTGTTGATGTGGGGTCAGTGACCAGAAGGCCCTGTCATCTCAAATGCTTGATTTTTAACAGAAGAGCTGATTTGAGTCCCGTGAAGCATGTTAAAGGGGTAGTGTTTATTAAACAGGATGCTATCTGATCATCTGAGGCAGACGGCAGAACTGTCCTTCAGCAACACAACAACAAAATATCAAGTGCTACTTGTGCCGATCAGTATTGTATTGTCAGGTATACACATGTTTAAAACCATGGTGTGAGTGCCTCACAAGGGTACTCTTTCTCAGAATAGAGATCACATGACCGTAAACCAATTTGTTTGCTTTTTGTCATGGCACTAAATAATATGTGTGTGTTTTTTTGTGCACGTTCTCCAGGCTGGAGTACTTTGACGAGGCAGTGCGGGATCCAGCCAGCCAGACTGCCGTGCCTGTTGACATCCACCAGCCGCCCGCCTTCCTGCACAAGATCCTCCAG